ACGACGACGACGACGGCAACAACAACTACTACTCCTACGGGATTTGCTACGAAAGGGAACAATGACAGCTGCTGGCATTACTATTGCCACTCATATTCACGGCAGTCGTTGCTTCTGTTTTGGCGATGGTGGTGTAGCTGTCTGCATGACATCTCCACAACTACAGTTATGATCATTCACTTTTCAGGAATTCCTACTCGAGCCTGCTTTGGTGAACGATTTCTCTGGTCTTATTCAAAAAGTGAGAAGGAGCAAAGAGGGAGCCCGGTAGCACATACTGATGCACAGTTGACAGCTGACTGTAGATGATAAGAGTATGTAGTTGACGTTGAGTCATAGTAGTAGATCGCCGTGGGCGAAGACAGACATCATCTGTGACGGGATGGCAGTAGAGGCCAAGCGAGCACGATTGTCAGATCTGCCAACAGCACTTACGAGAACAGAGTTGCGGAGCATGCAATGGAGAGCATTAGACTTCTCGACACACGTGCCCGACTCTGCAGCATTGCGGGGCTGCCAGGAAACTATTCTGACATGATGTCAAGCCCCTTCTGCAAGACGTGCGAGCCCGGCACCTATTCCGATCTTCAAGGCCAGGGGCTCAGGCTGACAGGGATGCTTCCATTTCATCTCGTTGCTATATCATTGTAGCATGCAGCCGTCACGTTTGTTATTGCTTACTACGTCGTTGCAGTTGCGATTTCTGCACTTTCAACCGGATCGGTCGACCACGCCATCTACATGCGAAGGAGTGGCAGGGGTCCTTCCTGGTCCCGGCACATGCCGGGTAGTACCGTGACTTTTCGCCGTCAGGTGCCAAATCTGATAGTACCAGTACGATACTGTCGCAAGGGTGCTGGAGTGGACCATCCTTTGGAACAAGCCTTCCTTCAAAGCAAGCCTTCTTGTATTGGCCCAATGATCATCATTTGAGCAGAGTGTGCTTGCCTTCTGCGCGTGCTTGCGCAGGCAGTTGGTACTGTGAGGAATGCGCCATTGGCCACTGGACCAACACGCCCAGAGCTCGGCTGCAATGTCATGGGCGATGCAGTGTTCGCACTGCTTTAGGACCGTCCCGCCAGTGTTTTGCTGGCACTCCTGTCATTTCAGTGCCGACGTGTGCATCAGAAGAGCCATGTATGCACGAGAACAGTGACTTGCGGCCTTGACTTGAATAGTGGCATTCGTGAAGATGCAGTCCGACACATATGAGAGAGTAAATCAGGCAGTGCTAACATTTAAGATATCGCAGGCAGCTCTCATGGGACCCAACGATTCTTGTGTGCCCGTTGTGTATGTCATGGTGCATGAGCGCATCATGATCTCCGACAAGCCTGACACTGCTCGATAAAAGGTCTTCCCTCGCCATGCAACTTCTTCATGTCGAAATTCTGGTGCCGGTGCAGCAGCAGCATGTCAATTTTGATCGTCGTGCCGATCAAAACTAGTCGGTGGATTGCTTCTAGTGACTGTTGTCCCTTAAGCACTGCACTGTTCGTTGAACCTGAACTCTGTAGCAACCATACCAGCCATACCAGCACATGGGTTTGTGTCTGAATCCAGCAGCTGTTTCCGCTTTTTGAATCAGGTCGATGCGTTTGAGGCCTCAGGTTGCAGGCACAGCAAGCCCTTGAGCCTGACAAGGTCAGGGAGCACAAAATGCAGCCGATGCAAACCTGGGAGGTATGCGGGAGAGCTGGGGCCTTGGGGTGCCGGGTTCTTGTGTGGTGCAGCCCTAAACTTAACTTGGGATCACGAAGAGGCGGATGTTGTTTTCGTCGGTCGACCAAGTCTTAGGGCTTGGAGCCCGGCTAGAAACCCTAATGCTGGCCGGGGTTGGAGTTAAGGAACGCGAACCAAGGTTCCCATGTCGTGTTCGAGGTTTAGGACCTGAAGCTTCGAAGGCTTTGCATGATGAAGCCTGTTGAAGCTCCATAGCCGCTGCAGGCCTTGACTCAGGGCTCTCAACCCCTAGCCCCAGAACCCAGATACCTCGCGCGAGGCCTCGAGCCTTCGGCCCGAAGCCTAAAAGCTGGAAGCTCCTAAACGTCAGTTGTAAAAAGATGCTGCAGAGCATAGTCCCTGCTGTGCAAGTCCTGGGGGCAATTCCATTCTGGCGTGAACGTGTGCACACGTGAGTCCGAAGTTGCACGTCAACACCCCGAAACAGGCTTGATTACCCGGTGGGCTTCGGGTTGGAACTGAACAAACAATGAGAAGAGTTAGTCATCGGGTGAGCGAACCAGGCGTCAAGTGAGTCAGGTCGAACACGACTATTTCCGCTGTATTTCTTCTCCTTGCTGACGGATAGTTTATGTTACTCGTTAAGGGGCAGCGGAAGTCGTGTCACGAAGATTACTACGGGGAATGAGCAGTACCACTAGAATGATCGGTTCTAGTCCTGAGTGTGACTCCTTCAGGTTGCGAGGGCTTCCGCCAGTTGCCCCGAAGATCCTTCAGTGGAAAGCCCCAAGCATTGGGGCACATTTTAACACATCTTAAAGGGGCGAAGGGGAACTGGCTCTTGGGTTGAGAGAAGGTGGCGGCTCCAGAGCCGAAGGATCCGTAGGATGTAGATCGCCCCTGAAGACAAACTACCCTACACGTGGACACTCCTGAGAAGTGTGCCCGGATCATTGAACCAAGGAGGGGCTATCCAACTTGCGATCGCTGCGATCCGGGTACGTACAGCAACTGGGCACATGAAGCGGGTTGGGTCTCCAAGGCTATGGCTCAGGACAGGTGTTTAACCTCGGGAGCTTTGTGCAACTTCAGGGCCTAAGCACGGGGCAGCTTGGACACGGCCTACTACTTGTGTTGCTACAGCTCGTCTCTATACTTTGAAGCCGCAAACTCAATCAGGGGCAGCAGGTGGTGTTGTCCAGCAAACCCGTAGTTGTTGTTGCAATTTTGGCAGCTGTAGAAGTAACTCTTTGCCGATGCTGGCTCTTTGTTTGTCCTACAGCAATCCCAACAGGCACATCCAAAATCCTGAAATATGTAAAGCGAAAGAGACTGTCGGGCCCAAAACAGTGGCAGGGACTGACCGTCGCAGGTTCTCAGCTCTTAGGGTGCATGGCAAAGTCCACCTTCTTGGTCATTTCTTCGTTTCTCCTCCGGCAACAGGCATGAGAGAACGGAAATCCTCAAGGGTTCAATCTGCATCAGATGATTAGCAGAAATGCCATGAATTGGAGGGTACCCTTCGAACAAGGCACGAATGACTTAAAGAATTAGCCTTACAACACCCGTCAAAGTTATCATAACGTTTTGAGCCGCTTTTATTTGGAGGTCGGTACGAAGACTCCGGCGGAATTTGGCTCACAGCGGCAAGCCTTTGGCGGCTCACAGCCGGCTACGGCGGTTTAGGGTATGGGCTCTAGGGGGTCACCCGGCAACACTTCATGGAGGCCTGGATGAAGCTCTATGAAGGCTTTCGAAACACGATGTTCCAAAACCTGAAAACTTATGCCCTAAACCCTAAAAAGGGAGAAAGGCAGCCCTAAAGTTCAGTGCTGGATGGGAGCAGCTGCATCAGTTGGCCGCGGGAGCCGCGAGGTGCCAGGGGCAGACTTGTCGAAAAGCGCGACCTCTACTTTTGCTTTTACGTCCACTTAATTAGAGTAATTACAGGCATCGCGAGTTCAGGTTCTGAGCATTCAAGAGGCGTTGAGGCTTACTTGCGGAGGTATCGACCCGTCGACCCGTTGATTTTCAGCAGCTTCGAGATTCAGAGCCCCAGGTCCGGGTGTTGAGAGTTGTGAGATATGGACTCTCCGAACTTTAAGTCCTTAAGTTCTGGCGGGGCGGTCCTGAAGCAGACCCAGAGGCATGATCAAAGATCCTCAATGCCCTTATTTTTAGTCAGAATGTGCGGCTTTCTTCCCTGAGCTGAAGGCTAAGGATTGCATTGGCTTTAGGGAAGATGCTTGCAGTCACATGCCGTGAGCTCTGCAGCAAGCTTTATAGTGGAACATACCCCCGAAGACCCGGACACAGACATGCGCACTAACGGGAAGCCGCAATCCGATGGAGCTGGGCCCACACACCGACACGCACGCGCGCAGACATAATTCGTACATTATGTGTCATAGCAGCACATACACACATACGCACGCATACGCATACAAACGCATATACTTACACATTTAATAAAACTGTACACATACGTCTACAGACACATATACATACACACATA